CATGGTACCCATCAGGAGTGTCGTAATGCTACTGATGTGAAAAACGCAGCGTATAGGGCAACCCTGCAGACAGTAGCAACACTTAACGTGATGGAGAATTATCGGGAGAAAAGGAGAGAGGAGAAACGTGTTTTCAGAAAAAAGAAGAAAGAACAAGAAAAACGTGAGCGTGAGCAAATCGAGATGTACAGGAGTCAGAATGAAGTCCGGAAATTTTACCAACGAGTAAAACACCAAAACGAAGGCTTTGGTGCAGGCACATCTTCCTGTAGAGATGAAGAAGGAAACCTGGTGACAGATACAGACAGCGTGTTGAGGATCTGGAAGGAGCATTTCGAAAAGCTTCTTGTATCAAATAGAACCAATAAGAGATGATGGTATAGAGTGTATACCACTTAGCCAAGATGAGGTCATAAAAGCAATTAATCGGCTCAAGAACAACAAAGCAGCAGGAGCCGATGGGTTACCAGCCGAACTATTCAAGACTGGTGGCCAAATGCTGGTCAGGAGCATGCACCAGCTGATTAGCACAATTTGGCTAGAAGAATGCATGCCCAATGATTGGAACCTCAGCATCCTGTGTCCCGTGCACAAAAAAGGAGATAAGACGATATGTGCCAACTATAGAGGAATAAGTCTCCTTCCCATCGCACATAAAGTGCTATCCAGTGTGCTGTGTGAACGATTGAAGCCAATGGTCAATGACATCATCGGACCATACCAATGCGGCTTCAGACCTGGCAAATCCACCATTGACCAGATTTTCACTCTGCGCAAATTCTGGAAAAAACCCACGGTGCACCATTTACATTAAATCGGACGGAAATATATATGGGAGCTATATCTAATTCTTCTAATTCTAATTCTTTAAATATGGTTCGCCTTGGACCAAATAGATTATAAATGCGACCTGTACTTTGTTTACAATGTAACACCAACTTGACTGAGTAAGTTATTCTATGCATATTCTCAAAAGGAACCATGGGTATATATCGATTCCTGTTGCCTGTTACAAACATATGCACAACGACATAATACCCTGTACCACAGTGTTGTGAAGGGTAAAAAAATTCGTTGTTTAAATATTGTTTTTTTTTTTTAAATCACGTGTATCCTTTCAAAATTACAACACATTCCCGCATTACTCCATCTTATGTCCAATTATGTCATTTTTTTTATTATTGCTCGCAATGTGATAAATTCCTACCCTCAAGCTAAACGCCATAACTTTATATACCCATTTACTGTTTATACTATATATATGTGTGTGTGTGTGTGCTGGTGTTGGCCATGTGTAAGCTCATAGCTCATGTAAAATTAACTATGCAACAAATGAAAGAGTTTGTCCTCTTCACTACCCTTACTTTCTTTTTTTTTGGCTTAGTTGGATGACGGATTCGTCTCTTTTTTTAAATTGTTTTTCGTTGGTTGGTGGGTTGGTTTGGCTGGCGAGTAACAGTTTGACTTTTGACTCTTGTGAATGTTTCGAAATGTTGAAAATTAATAGTGACTGTCATTCAAGAAAAAATAAAATGTTAAATTACATGAGACAACTTTTGAGTTTCTTTTTTTCCCCATCTGTTTTTTGGGGGACTGCTCCTCTTGTTGCTCGTTATTCGTTTTTTGTCGTATTCTTTGTCGTCATAAAAAATTCCACACCATTCACCATCCATTCTGCCATCCGCATCAGCCAGTACGAAAAAACATGTCACCCACACCCTGACTGCCAACCAACCAGCCGGCACATAGTTCGTGACCTTCAAACAGGAATGTGAGAGAAAACGTGGCAAAACGGAAGAAAGGAAAAAATATAATTGATTTTTTTTCGCTTTATACTAATGGAACTATATATTTTTTATAGTTCGTTATAATAATGACAAGAACTTTGTAATAGTGTGATTATATACTTTAATGTCCTTGGTGAGTGGTGGTGATGGTGCGGGTCATGGGTTGCTGGGTGATGGTGGGTGTTTGGCCCCTGGCAATGGCAGCAAAAAAGGTTTATCCAATGCACGGCGATTTATGGTTTAAGTGTCCTTATACAATGTTTAAATTGGATGAAATATAATAGTCAAGTAGCGCCATAAGCACCATGAAGCTGCTACTGCAGCACCGACACCACCACCAGCAGTAGCTTCTGAACTGAAGAGTTCACTAATGTAGGGTCACTTGAGTTAAAAGCTTTAGCGTTTATTTCATATTTTGGGCGAACAAATATTAAACTGAACATACTATACAAATTGGTATGTGATTTCGTTTGTCAGATTTACTGGAAAATTTCAAGAGGGAGATTTAAAAATCTAAATTGAATAAATTGGAATAAATTTATAAATGCAATACAATTGATATTTTCAATGATACTAAATTAATTAAGAGGTAAGCACATTATTATTGAAGTACAGAGAATTGACTAAAATTTAAAATAATTACATATTGGTAAGGAAAGCAGTAAAGTCAGACGGGGCCGACTATATGATACCCTTCACCACTTTGGGTATATTCAACAGATGAATCCTAACAGACGTCGCATTTTTGAAGGACCAGTAAAATGAAATTGGACCCATAAACATGTCTTTCTGCAACCTATACTAAATTTGGTCTGATATTGAGTTGCTTCTTACAATGGGGCAAAATTATGTAAATCAATTTAAAGCAAATATCAATCGGACACCCGTTAATTATATGGATACATACATGAGGAGTTTGGTACACAATTACTTAAAATAGGACGAAAATATTTAGAAAAGCTATATCGAAATCTAAGCAGATTTCTTCAAATCTTGTCACAGCATATCCACCATATGGCATATGGCAACTATATCTAAATCTGGACCTATTTTCACTAAACGTGGCAGACATCACTCTAGTCTTAATTTTATCCCACATTTCATGCAAATCGAAAGATATATAGGGACTTTGGTGCACCATTTACCATAAATCGGACGAAACTATATATGGGAGCTATATCTAAATCTGGACTGATTTTCACGAAACTTGGAAGACATCACTCTAGGCGAAATTCAGAACGCTATACCAAATTTCGTGCAATCGAAAGATATAGGGGGACTTTGATGCACCATTTAAATAAAATCGACGAAAATATATACGGGAGCTATATCTAAATCTAGACCAATTTTCACGAAACGTAGCAGACATCATTCTAGGCTCAATTCAGCACGTCATGCCCAATTTCGTGCAAATCGAAAGATATATAGGGACTTCGGTGCACCATTTGGACGAAAATATATATGAGCGATTATTCTCAATTTCAATAGGGTTCGTCCTTGGGCCAAATAAATGAGCTGTGCCAAATTTCATCCAATTCGGATTATAAATGCGACCTGTACTTTGTTTACAATTTACCAGATGGACAGATGGACGGACATGCATAAATCGACTCAGAAAGTGATTCTATGCATATTCTCAAAAGGAACATGGGTCTATCTCGTTTCCTTTTGCCTGTTACAAACTTATGCACAAAGACATAATACCCTATACCACAGTGTGATGAAGAGTATAAAAATACAAGCCTCGTTCTATGGTTAAAATATTTTTTAAATAAAAGTCTTGTCCTTGTTTGGAAAAATCCACACCTTTTTCTAGGTATTGAACAAATATTTTTTGAAAAATCCGCGCCCATGTTTGAAAAAAATACACACCTTTTTCTAGGTATTAAACAAATATTTTTGAAAAATCCGCGCCTCGGACCAAGAATTGAAAAAAAATATTTAAAGTAAATTTAATTCTGCATCTTAAGAAATATGTTAAAAAAAACTCTTAGTTAGAAAATATTCCTTTGTTTTGGATCTTAAAAAAATGTTTAAATAAATTTAGTTTTATACCCTAAAAATATTTTTTTAAACCCAAGACATAAAAAATATTTTATTAATTTCTCTTTCGAGATGAGCTACATGATCGGAGTTGCAATGAAAAGGAAAGCCAGAGAGATACTACATTCCCACCTCTATGCGGCGCGTTTCGCCGTTGGTTAAGCGGCTCATCAGACATATTGGGCAATGTGGCTTACAAATGTCTTTACTTGATAAGTTGTATTTATGTCGACTATTGTTGCGAAATTGCATCTACGATTTAAATTCAATCGTGTCAAGGTTCGGACATTTGGCATCACACCACAACATTCCTTTTCAGAGCAGATTTTTCTTGTAGTGACGGACTTTTTTCCATACAGACTGCAATATTTTTCTTCAATGGTATGCAACTGCATATTGTGCAACCTTAGGAAGATAAGGAGGTGGTTTTGAACGCTAAGGCGGCGGACATCAACAGGGTTCAAATCCAAGCCGGGCTCAAGCTGAATTTTTTGAGTTTTTGTTTTTATGCCTTTTTATTTATATGGTTTATTCAAATCCTCGTTAAGTTTGGACCTTGAATAATTTCTACTCCAGTTGGACCTTGAAAAACATTTTAAGAAAATCGCGCATAGTATTGGATCTTTAAAAAAGTGTTTTTAACAAATTCCCACTTCGGTTTTGAACATTTTTATTTCAAAAAATTTCCGCTCAACTACCGCTAATAAAATTCTTTCCTTTGAAATGTAAAAATGAATATTTGTGAAAAATTTGCCTTTAATATTTTTTTCCAATATCCTTTTTAAGCTTTTGATTTCTGTTTGTGGAACTGACAAATTTCCTTTCATATTTTGTTTCTTTTTTTTGTTTTTGGTGTGTATGCTCTATAGACAATTCTTGGTTATTTCCTTTATTTGTTGATACAATGTTTTTCTTCTTCGGTTGCTCACCCCTGCCCCTTTTGGTTGTTTTCTTTATTTTCATCTAAATGCAAATTTTGCCTCTAACATCAATAATAATAACAACAACAAGGAAGGAAATAATCGTATATTGATGCGACTGCTTGTTGTTGTCGTTCCTTGGAAACATGTTCCTAACAGTTGAATTTTTGTCTTCTTTCCGTATTTAAGAACAACTTTAAGTTGGAGAGAAAAAAAAACATAAGAAAACATGAAATAATCTTCTACTCACTTAAGGTAACATTATAGGTTTTCTGTAAGTCCACTTGACCTCGTAATGCACGTAAACGACGCAATTTGGATTCTTGGGCCTCGACGCGCTCCCGCAAACGTCTCAAACGTTCACCCTCAGCATTGGCAACGGCATTGCGAACCTCTTGCTGTTTCAGAAAGCGTAAACGTTGCTCTTTGGTGGCCAGCAGTTGATGTTGGGAGTCGATTTGTTGTTGTTGACGTAGTGCCATCGCCCTTAATTCGGCTGACGTCAGCCTGCCAGGCACCTGGAAAATTTAAAAAAACACAAGATTTAGATTTAATTTAAAATAAAAAAAGATGTACCAAAAGTGATTAAAATGCAAAAAAAAAAAAAAAAAAAAACAAAAATAAAAGAAATTAAAAAACCGAAAATGACTTGAAACGATAATTCCTTAAGAACTCTTGGGAAAATTTATGACACAAACTTGCTCATGTGTAACATGCAGGCTGTCAGGCAGGTAATATAAAGCCTGGGGCAAAAGTCAAAAACAGGAAAAAAACTAGGAAACAAACATCAGTTGTTTTGAGTAGCCTTATCCTAGTTTTATTTGCTAGGCTTTTTAACTTTTGTGTGAATAAATATTTCGTTTTGCATGGCCAGACATAAATTAAAGAGATGAAAAACATCAGATAACAATTACACACACATACATATGTATTTAAAATAGATTTAAAAGGTAAAAATTATACATTTGAATATTTATTTAAAATAATGCCCAAGGAAATATTTTAAGTATTTTCCTTTAGGTTTTCTAGTGGAGATATCAAAGAAGAAAGATTAAAGGCTGTATTTGTTCTTATCCTTTTGTAGGTAATAATTGGTGTGCCGAACAAATGAACAAATTCATTTTAAATGACTATTATATACGAATATTTCTCAACCACTATCACAGTTATAGGTGTGGATTTTCTAAAGAATATTAAATAATATTTTTAAACCAGTGAGCGGTGCAGTATAGTCGAACGAGGCCGACCATATGATACCCTACACCACTTACACAAAAATCTAACTTTTTGCGGTGTAGTTTTGAGCTTCGGCAATATTTTGCGATATTTGCACCCTCTTGACCGACTAGAAGTCAACAAATATTAATAATATTCAGTACAGCTCTTCTAATTACTTGTCCAGATTTCGTTCACCGTGGTCTGTGTTACGATGTTCCGCTTTCAATAGTGGCATATAGATCGATTCGAAAAAACACAAAAAAAATAGGTTTTCGGTCCACATCATCCCAATATTATTATCAGATCATCACCGAAAATTATAGGCGTTGTCCTTGACCATACCTGGATTCTCATGGAAAATTTCAAAGCGATAAGCGGAATATTTCCGCCTTCTAGTGTGGTGATGGGTCAGGGAATTTTTGCTTTGTGCAGAAGATGAAGATTTTGTAACGCCGCGAAATGTTGGTCCTAAACCCACCTTTAATTATACCGATCGTCATATCTCGACTAGTTGAGTCGATCTAGAAATGTGCGTCCGTCTGCCCGTCTGTCTGTATGTCCATTATAATTTATAAACACGATACAGGCCACAGTTATGTAACAATATTCACGAAATTTTGCATGTAGGATGGGTTCTGACCAATAAAGACCCCTATTGTTTTTCGTAAAGATCGGTTAACATTTAGGAGATAAAATGGATCAAATACTTAATTTTTGTCGGTTTTTCTGGTCGCTCCAAAGGCCGCAATTATGACCCAAACATCTCGATTTTTTACATGGAGAAGGGAATCGGGCCAAATAATAAACATGCCTGTTTTAATAAAGACCGGTCAATATTTAGAGGGTCAAATGGACCCTGACTTTTGTGTGAAAATTTACAAAATTGGTATTCTATGGTGTATATATTTGCTCCTGAAGGCCCGAGAAGTTGATAGTGTAACCAAGAGGTTGACCTTTAAATTACGTATTCACATATTATTTAGTAACCCATTGCCACACTGGAAGGCGGAAATAAAGCGCGGATCGATTTGAAAGTTTCTATGAGGTTCCAGTTATGGTCACAACGGTTAATTTCTATAGAAAACATATTCATGAGAAAAAATATTCCTGAGCAATCTATTTCTAAAAATATTCCTGCGCAATTTTTTTTTCTAAGGAAAAAATATTCCTGAACAGTTTTTTTCTATATAAACAAATTTCAGAAAATTTTTTTTTATAGAAAAAAAAATTCCTGATCATTTTTTCATATTTAATTTTTCATCATTTTTTTCCTGAGCATTTTTTCCTATAGAAAAATATTCCTGAGCAATTTGTTTCTGTAGGAATTTTTTTTTGTTCTATAGGAAAACAAATATGCAAAAAAATATTCCTGAACAATTTTTTAAGATATTTTTTTGCACTTTTATGTTCTAAAAAAAATTAGCCCTGAACAATTTGTTTGTATAAAAAAACTAAATTTGATCATTTTTCTCTATAGAAAAAAAATTTTACTGAGAAAATTTCTAAGCAAATTTCTCTACAGAAAAAATATTCCGCAGCATTTGTTTCTATAGAAAAGATTCTTATATATTTTTTTCTATAGAAAAATATTACTAGTCAATTTTTTTCTGTTGAAAAATGTTCCTGATAATTTTTTTCTATAGAAAAATATTCCTGATAATTTTTTATAGAAACAATTTTTCTGAGAAGTCTTGAAAATTTTATTTTGATAGAAGAAAATATTCCTGAGCAATCCTTTGGTATAGAAAAATTATTCATGAGTAATCTTTTCAATAAAAAAAATATTCTTGAGAAATGTTTTCTATAGGAAAATATTCCTGACCAATATTTTTCTATAGAAAAAAATATTCCTGACCAATTTTTTAATAGTAAAAACATTCCTCAGCATTTTTATAATAGAAAATATATCCTATTGTCATTTAACTTTTATAGAAAAAATATTCCTTTATGGATTTATTTTCTATGTAAAAAATAATACCTTATCAATTTTTTTTAATAGAAAAAAAAATATTCCCGAACAATTTATTCCATAAAAAAAAATATACGTGAGCAATTTGTTTCTAAGAAAAAGTATTCCTGACGGAAGTTTTTCTATAGAAACCAATTTATTTTTTTATAGAGAAAATTATTTTGTTTGGGGTTTTCCTGACTCCTGACCAATTTTTAATATCGAAAAAAAAACCAAAAGAACTGATGAGGATCAGTGGCGAAATCAGAAACTATAGTCTTCTCTGCCTTATCGCATGGCAGACAATGCCATACATACCCCACTAAAGTTATGGTCAAGGACAACACCTATAATTTTCCGTGTCGATCAGATAATAATTTTTGTATGAAGTGGACCCAAAATTAAATTTTTTGTGTTTTTTGGGGACGATATTTATGCCACAATTATAAACCAAACAACACAACACAACCCAGCGTGAAGGGAATTCTATACTTGTAATATTCGGAAAATATGTCAGTGTAAGGAAAAGCTGCTGTTGACCTCTAATCGGGCAAGAGGGTGCAAATATCAGAAATGCAATACCTACCCCACTAATAAATAGTTGTTGTTTCATATAAAAACAACAAACTGGGATTCAGCCTGACTATTTTGCAAAAACGAAATACAAATGGTATCCCAAATTACCTGTCAAAATTTCGGAAAATCCAGAACAATTTATTTATCTATGAAAAATTCACACCGATTTTTTTCAATGAAAATAAATTCTGAACAATTTTTTTATATAGGAAGACTTGGTTTCTATAGAAATTCTATTACAAGTGCCTCATATCAAAAATCCTTCCAGAGAAAAAATATAATTTTTGCAATTTATATTGTTTTTAATATCACCCACTTATTTCTTTTGATAAACGACACACTCAACATGCTGTTGTTATTACTTCTGGGAATTTTGTCTGAAAATGGTGTAAAAATGTTGCGAATTCGAAAAATTTAATAATCACGCACACACCTCCATATATATTAGAATTGTAAAAATGTTGGCATTTTTTTGTTTGTTCGTTCGATTGATAAATATAAAAGTTTTGTTCATAAAACGTAATTCCACTTAAGATACTTTCAATAATAACAGAAAAAACAACAACAAATAAATGTATTCAAAAAAAAAAAAAAAACAAAACAACAAAAAAGACACAAGCAATAAATACAACTTAACAAATAAGCTTACCAAAAATGAAAAGCAATCAGCTATTATAATAAAACAACAACAACAAAATGAAGAGAAGCAACACCAACAAGACAGGACTTTAAACAAAATTTATGACATAAAGAAAAAAAAAACTTCTGCGACAAAGTTTGATAGGCAGACAGACAGGCACACTCACACACACACAAATGCACAGAAAGGGATGAAGAAAGAAAAAAATTCTAAAAAATAAGAAATAAAATAAAACAACGAAACAGGTGTGGGCAACAGTGTAGCAACACCTGTGGGAAGCCAGCCGTCAGCCGGCAAGGACCTTAAGGCTTAATGCCATGCAAGGAAAAAGGGGAAAATATTATAAAAACCAAAAAAAGGAAGGGCTGATTGCTTGTGGTGGTTGCCATGCAATTGTTTCGTTGGTTTGGAATGGTTGCTTGGTTGTGTCAGGATCGACTTACATTTAATTTTGGTTCGGCTGTTACCACCGTCATATGTTTCTTGCTGTTGTAGCTGTTGATGTTGTTGTTATCATCGTTGTTGTCACAATTGTTAAAGTTGAAACTGTTGTTATTGTTGTCATCATTATTATTATTGTTGTTATTATTATTTTTGTTGTTGCTGTTATTATTATTACTATCACTATTGATGAATATACTGTTGCCGTTGTTGTTATGAAACGAACGTTGCCTCGCTGTGGGCCTAACTGAGGATGGCGGCATTTTTGGTAGATTTCCCGAAACCGGTCGACACACACAAGTCAACATGATGATGTTGATGCGATTTCAAGCTAAATATTCACCCGCGGGGGTGTTGAGCGGATGGTCGAGTGTTATTCGTTGCTTTTTCGTTGAAACTTTAAGACACTTTTACCAGAAAGAAAAGTCTTTAAGACGTTCCTTTTTTGTTTTTCTTGTTTTTTTTTTTACAACCGTCCAAAATTTGGGTTTATTTTGTTTTCCTGTTCTTCTCTTCTTCGGGTTACACTTTTTTTGTTTTGTTTTTGGATTTATTTATTAGTTTTTGTTACGGTGTGCTTTAAAACTATATCTATATTAATAAAAGAGTAATATTGAGTCGTTTAATTTGAAATGGGTTTAAGTCCATTTTAGTTTGTGAGGCAAATTTGGTTTTCTTGAATAGTTTACAAAACATAAGATGTAATATACCAAAATTAATACAACTTAACAATATTTTTGAAACAAATCAAAGCCAAGCCCCGATATAAGAAAAATCGACTTAAGGGAACCCCACCCATTCTCGATTTTCAATGGGCTGGTAAATCAATACCAATGCTTGTTAAGGTTTGTAACTTTGCACATATATAATTGAAGATTTAAAAGAGAAGAAAAATAATTTACAAAAAAATTTCGTTATTGTTTTGTTGTTGTTTTTTGTAATTAAAGAAAAGTCCTTATTTTTGATGGCGGGCATGATAACTCCTCACTGGAACATCGGAATCCAAAAATTCCAACGGTGTTAGAAAGAGTACATGTCTGGCTCTCGTATGAAGTAGAATTATTGTAAATCAATTTAAATCTTAACCGATTTCAACTAAACTTGCCACACATTATGTTACAGTAACTTCAGTACGTAGTACAAAATTTTGTGCCGATTGGACCCACCTTGGTGAAACATTTATATGGGAGGTATATCTAAATCTAAACCGATTTTCACGAAATTTAACACATATTATTCTAGACTTAATTCAGTACGCTGTGCAAAATTTCAAATCGAGTGATAAATAGGGACTTTGGTGCAATGTCTTAAATCGGAAGAATATATATCAGGGACGTACGCAGGGGGGCGGCCCGGGGGGCCCGGCCCCCCCGAAGTGATTTTTTTTCACAGTAAATGTATGTTTGTAACAGCGAATTTTTTCATTTTGTACTACCGGTCCCCCCCGAAATGAAATCCTGTGTACATATATATATATATACACAGGATATATATATATATATATATATATATATGGACTTTGGCGCACCATTAACCTTAAATCGGATGAAACTATATATGGGAGCTATATCTAAATCCTAACCGATTTTCTCGAAACTTGGCACACATCATTCTGCACCTAATTCAGTACTCTGTGCGAAATTTCGTGCAAATCGAATGATATATAGGGACTTTGGCGCACCATTTACCATAAATCGGACGAAAATATATATGGGAGCTATATCTAAATCTGAACCGATTTTCGCGAAACTTGGCACACATCATTCTGCACCTAATTCAGTACTCTGTGCCAAGTTTCGTGCAAATCGAAAGATATAGAGGGACTTTGGTGCCCCATTTACCTTAAATCGGACGAAAATATATATGGGAGCTATATCTAAATCTGAACCGATTTTTCCCAATAGGGTTCGTCCTTGGGCCAAATAAGTGACTTGTGCCAAATTTCATCTAAATCGGATCATAAATGCGACCTGTACTTTGTTTACAATTTAACATCTACAGACGGACAGACGGACGGACGGACATGCATAAATCGACTCAGAAAGTGATTCTATGCATATTCTCAAAAGGAACCATGTGTCTATCTCGTTTCCTTTTGCCTGTTACAAACATATGCACAAAGACATAATATCCTGTACCACAGTGTGGTGAAGGGTATAATAAGGAAGATCTTTACCGATTGGCTTTATCCTAGTTCATACGATAGCTATACACTCACAGAGAAACGTGTAAAAATTTTGAATTGATTGGGTTATTAGTTTGAGAAGCTCTTTAGCCGTCACTTGATGCTGACACAATAAATCGGCTATATTTTCAAGAGTTCGTGAGATTTTCACTTGAAATTTTATTGGGATATTCTTGAATTATTGTAGATTCGAATTAAATCAAAAATATTTAACACCGATAATGGGGGGGTCCCCTTAAACCTCTTTCAAAATGAATGACTCGATATGATTGACTGAGTGACTGACTTAAGGATCCATCAAAGCTCACCTTCTTACTCTGAAGGTGTCATACAAGGCTGGGTTTCTGGAAATTCGTACTAAAACGGTACGAAAGGTACTAAATATGTTACCATTTGCATTTGTGGTCCGCTGTGGAGCTAGAACCCTAAAGTTTGGAATGAGGGCCACTGATGGAGTGTGGGATAGCTGCATCAAAAAGTTTTTTTTTTTTTTTTTTGAAATTCAAATTATAAGTATCCAAAAAGTACAAAAATGTACTTAATTTTGTACAATTTCGTAGCATGTGATGGGCTAAAGCTAAAAAGTTGAAATTTATAATGCGTATCAAGAATGAGAAGCATGGTCGGTATAAGGATGTGGTTTTGGAAATGTGTACTCATGTATACGAATAGTACTAAATTGAGTTTGGAGGGACGGATGGAGCTGGAATTTGGAAATTTGAAATTTAACATTACCGTCGGTGTTTGTACTATATTTGGTACAATTTAGATTTGGGTGAATCGATAGAGCTGGAGCACAGAAATTTTTATATAATATTAATACCGCATTGTAGAATTGTAATATGTACATAGTTTTGGACATTAGTACTTATGTGTACAAAAAGGTACTAAATTTAGTACAATTTAAATTTTGAGTAAACCGATTGGGCTGGAATCAAAAAATTGACAAATAAGATTTCTATTGGATTGTTGAGGTATTTATACTATTGTTTACGAAAAATACCAAATTGTACTATATTTGGGACAATTTAGATTTGGGTGAATCGATAGAGCTTTAGCACAGAAATTTGGATATAAGATTACTACTGCATTTTAGAATATAGGTATGTACATAGTTTTGGATATTAGTACTTATGTGTACTAAATGATAATAAATTTGGTACAACTTGAATTTTAAGTAAACCTATAGAGCTGGAAGACTTCAAATCGGAAATAACATTTCTATTGAATTGTTGAGGTATTTGTACTTACGTGTACGAAAAGTACTAATTGGTACTATAATTGGTACAATTTGGATTTGAAATTTTGAGTTACGATCACTGTTGGGGTGTAGGGTTGCGGTATATAAGATTTTTTTTTTTTTGAAAAAGAAATTTCGTACCCTTAATGAACCTAGAAAGATCAATAACAATCGCATAATAAGTTCTACGATGAAGTTTTTACCCACCCAATGCCAAACTACAACCATATCGATTGGGAAATCCACAAAGGTCCATGCAAAGGACTAAATATGGTCGGATATTGTATATTGGAATTATTGGTAATATTTTTTAATGAAGCATCGGCCACGAATTCCACTGCAATTTCGTTTGGAGACAGCGCTTGGAACCATAAAAGCCCCAAAATATGACGGGACTTTTATGTAAAAGTGTGGATCTATATATGAAATATTTTGCAAATGCGGTTTTTACACGCCTAGAACCTGGAATGTCAAATTTCAACAACTTCGTTGGAAAAATGAGAAAAGGATCATGAAATACCTAAAAATAGCATAGGACCTATATATGAGGGTCTATATTGGACATTTTTGGAGAAGGAGTTGTGTGTATACCAAGAACTTGAAATACCAAATGAAATCCACTTCAGTTGGAAAATGCAGAACGAACCTTCTAAATCCGATAATAAGACGCAAAATTTATATTGAGGACTATATCAACTCAGGACCCATCTGCAAAAGGTTCCGCGAAGAAACTACCCAATGCCAAATTACTTCGAAAATTGGCTTAGGACTTCAAATACCTATGTCAGTTTTGAGAAGTTTTGTAACCAACCAAGAGCATACAAGGCCAAATAACAGCCACTTCGGTGAAAAAATGCGCAGGAACCTTCAAAATCCGAATATATATTGGGGACCTATTTGTAAAAAGTTGTGAGAAGACCCTAACTAGTGCCAAACTATCATCAAATGGGTTTGAAAATTCATTAAGGATCTGAAATAACTAAAAAGAGCCAGGCGCAGGATATTGACATTTCTTCAATATCCGATAATAAGGCGGAATCGTTAAAATGAATTCTGCGAAGAAATTTTTACCAACTCAATGTCAAATTACTACCACTTCGTTTTGAAAATGCGCTTAGGACCATGAAATAATTAAAAACGGCCCAGAATCTTTGTATATAAGCTATGTCAAAACATGGACCTATATTGACAACGCAGAAGTTTCTTACCCATGAAGCACCCAAATTTAATGCAATTCCTTTTGAAAATGTGCCTAGGATCATCAAAATACTTAAACTAGGTTGAACTTTTTATATGGGGGCAATATCGAAATAGAGACCTATACTATTTTTTTTTTGCGAAGACTTTTATACCCATCAAGAGCCTACAAAAGTGACATTCCCTTCTGTTGGAAAATTCAGCTAAATCCCCCCAAATATTCAAAAAGGGGGTGGAACCGTTATATGGTTTTTTTTGGTGAATCATTTTGATGAAATTGGACGAAAATCGGACAAACATAGGCGCTTTGGTGAATAATTTTCCTGAAATCGGACGAAGATATATAGGGAAGGCATATATGAATCTGAACCGATTTTAACCAAACTTAATGCACATTATTCCAGACCTTTTTCAGATCGCTGTGCAAAATTTCGTATCAATCGGGCATCCATGAGACCTTTGGCGAACCATTTAGCCTGAAATCGGCCGAAAATATATATGGGAGCTATATCAAAATCTAAACCGATTTAAAACAAACTTAACACACATTATTCCAGTCTCCAGTCAGTTCGTTATGCAAAATTTCGTGTCAATCGGACATCTGAAATCGGACGAAAATATATATGGGAGCTATATATGAATCTGAGCCGATCTTAACTAAATTTAACACACATCATTCCAGTAAT